AATAAACACATTTTTACAGCTTTTTTGAGATTTTTCACATACCATAAAATTGACCTAAAGTGTGCAGTTTAGTGGGTTTTAATATTATTCACAGAGTTGTGCAACCACCCCCCCAATCTAATATTAAACATTTCCCACGCCCCCTAAAAACACCCAGTACTTGGTGGTTCAGTTGTTAAACGTCTGCCTTCAGCTCAGGTCATGATCCCAGGGTTCTGGGATTGAGCCCAACATCGGGCTCCCTGCTCAGCGGGAAGCCTGCTTCTCCCTCTCCCACTCCCACTACTTCTGTTCCCTCTTGCTGTTTCTTTGTGGTAAATAAAGTCTTTAAAACAAAACCAAAAAAAACATCCTATACACATTAGCAAAGTCCCTCTGCATTTCTCCCAGCCTCTCACCCCTGCCCCAGCCCCGGGCTGTGGTTATTAATCTACTTCCTGTTTCTGTGGATTTTTTTGCTTCTGGACATTGCGTATACATGGAATCCTACAGTATGTGATCTTTTGTGACTAGCTTCTCTCACTTAATGTTTTCAAGGTTCATCTACTTTGTAGCAGTGTGTTCATTCCTTTTTATTGCCAAATACTCTGTTACATAGTTTATTTATCCACTCAGCGGTCAGCAGACGCTTGGATTTCTTCTACTTTTTTGGCTATTAACAAGTCTGCTGGGAACAGTCCTTCCAAGTTTTGTGTGGATGTATGTACTCATTTCTTTGGGCAGATGCCTGGGAGCAGATATATGCAGGAACGTATGCTAACTCCACATTAAACCATCTGAGGAACTGCCCGCTGTTACCCAAAGTACTGTCACCATTTTGCATTTCCACCAGCAGAGTGTGAGGGCTCCAGCTTCTGCACCTCCTTGAAAACCCTTGTCTTTGTCTGTCCTTTGGGTTTTCACCATCCTAGAGGGCTAACTAAATATATTTTATTATGAAGGAATTTATTTTTAGACTCTTTTCTATTTTTTAATGTTTGTGACGTTTTATAGGCAAGAATTAATCCAAAAGAGATTCGAACTAGAAACAGAAACACACACGCACCCCAAAGCCCTTCCTTGAATCAGATGTAGACCTCTGTTTTTCACCCCCAGTGGTGCATACCCTGACTGGCTGTACCCCTGGGATGTTCAGGGGACTCGGGCTTGGAAGCGATCGTCATTTCCACTGCGTGTGCACCACAAGGCCCTCAAGGCTCTGCTTGCAGAGCCCCACCATTGCCTCCCTGCGCACGGGCAGCTCATTCGTGTGTCTGAGGCTCTGTTACTGAAGGTCTTACTTACCCTCTAGAGATCCAAGATCTGCAGTCATTGGACTCCCTGGCAAAGCTTGTCCCCAGCTCTGCTTTCAAAAGGCGCAGGAAGTAGGTCTAGTCTTCCTCTTAGGTTCCCACTTCCTGGAAGTGTTTCAGGTCTTCACTCTGAACCATTTTTCACAGGTCATGCTTTCTACTCCCCTTTCCTAGAAACTGGCAGCTTTCCTGGGTCTATTAAGTTTGCCGGTACCTTATTTTTAAACATGTCTCCGAACTAAGTGTGTTGTGCTTCAAGTGTGAGAGCATGTTGACAGCGGATTTATCACCTTCCCTTTGGTGGCTAGAACATTTCTTTGGCCTAACATATGTTTTCCTTCTTTTGAGCTCACCAGAGCCACAAAGCCTCTTTAGCGGCACTCTTTCCTGTATGTTTTTGTTTTATTTTCACTTCTTAAATGGGAGTTCAACCACATCGTACAAAACTTGAAATGTATAAAGAGTATTTGATACAGGACGTCCTTCCCACTCCTGTTCCCCAGGCAGATAGCGCTCCTTTCCAGAGCTACTCAGTGTCATTAGTTCTTGCACACCTTCACAGAGATTTTTAAAACAGCTCTATTGAAGTATAATTTATATACCATAGAATTCATCCTTTTTTTTAAAAGAGAACGGGGGGAGGAGCAGAGGGAGAGAGAGAATCTTAGCAGCTCCACGCCCAGAGCAGAGCCTGACACAGGGATCAATCTCAGGACTCTGAGAACATGACCTGAGCTGCAATCAAGAGTCGGATGTTCAACCGAGTGAGCCATCCAGGCGCCCTTTAAGCCCATTTTTAAATTACGTATGTGGAATGTCTCAGTATGTATTTAGATCTTGAATTTCTTCCACTAATATTTTGCATTTTTCAGTCTGCAAGCTTTGCACTTCTGTTGTTAACTTTATTCCTGAATATTCCATTCTTTTTGATGCTGTTGTGAATGGAATTGTTTCCATAATTTTATTTTCAGACTGTTTATTGCTAGAATATAGAAATACGGTTGATTTGGAGCGGGGCACCTGGGTAGCTCAGTCAGTTAAGCATCTGACTCTTGCTTTCAGCTCAGGTCGTGATCTCAGGGTCCTGGGTCAGGCTCCATGCTCAGCGGGGAGTCTGCTTCTCCCTCTACCCCTACCCCATACTTGTGCACGCACTCTGTCTCCCCCTCCTCTTCAAATAAATAAAATTTAAAAAATATATATATTTTTATATATATTGAAAAGATTAAAAAAACCCAAATATATACATATATTTGGGTTTTATCTTCTTGATTTTATTTCTGCAATCTGGCTAAACTTACTAGTTTATAGTTAATACTTCTTTATGGATTCCTTAGTATTTTCTATGAACAGGATCATGTCATTTGCAAATAAAAAGAGTTGTACTTCTTCCTTTCCAATCTGGGTTGTTTTCCTTCACAGGTGTTTTATCACTAAGAAAGCAAACCCTGCATGTGTCTTTTTTCTCACAAACTGGCAGCTTTGCTTTTTATACTTAACAATCTATCCTGAAAGTCAGTCCCTTTCAGTCCCTAATGTGTTTCTTCCTCTTAAAGCTGCAGACCAGTTGGGCCTGTCTTCCTCACCACCTTCCCTAGCCTCATACATTTGGGGTTTTTTAACATCACAGTAGTCTCCTAGTTTTATGTTAGTTTTTTGCAGTTTATAATCTCAATCATTCGTTCTTTCTAACACTTCTGTACTTTCAGAGATGCAGGTGCTCCCTTATTGAGCTGGGGAGACCGGCACAGAGAGTGTTCTCGGGTACAGACAGCTAGTGAAGGGAGGATCTGAGACCGACTTAAGTCTTGGGACTCCAGACACAGAGCTTTTTCTACTGTGTCAAAGTTACCGCCATTCCCCCTGCCTAACGTGTAGGGCTTTACAATTACCCCTTGTTTGATTTGGCATCATTCCTGTTTATTATTTTGGATCTTGACAGTCATTTAGGCCCTCCCAGATATGGATCATACGAGAAATCACCTGCTTCCCATATCTCCAAGACACATATATGAAATGGTGAAAAGGAATAGCCAGAGCATACCAAGTAACTGGACACTTAGCGTTTAGTGCTTAGTAAATACTTGCTGTTGGATCCAAGAAATACACTCATAAAAGGCCTCTCTGTGTTAATAATGTTTGGTAAGAGTGGTTCAACCAGTTACAGTTCTACCAACTTATTTTGTCATTTAACCCACATAACTCCCATCTTGCCCTCAAAGATGTCATGAGAAGTTTTGTCATTTTATTGAAATCTAATTGTACTCAACTACACATTCTTTTTTTTTTTAAGATTTTATTTATTTTATTTGACAGACAGAGATCACAAGTAGGCAGAGAGGCAGGCAGAGAGAGAGAGAGGAGAAAGCAGGCTCCCTGCCAAGCAGAGAGCCCGATGCGGGACTCTATCCCAGGGCCCTGGGATCATGACCTGAGCCGAAGGCAGAGGCTTTAATCCACTGAGCCACCCAGGCGCCCCTCAACTACACATTCTTTTGGCTGACCAGTTAGTGACCATATCTACTAGAAGAAACCAGGCTAACCTGGCAGGGTTCATTCTGCCTGCCTTCCTGAGCACTAGCTGAAATGTGCTCATCTTTTCTTTGACCTCCAAATGCTTGCAAATTATTAGATTGGTGTTCCATTCTAGAATTTTACGTGTCGTCATTGTTAAATCCAGTTTGCAATGCTTATCTTTTTGAAAGTTAAAACATTTCTTGTCTCCAGGTATCAAGTTTCTGAAAGAAACTATTTCAGTTTCCTGAGGGCCCTGGAATATAGTTTATCTAGTTCAGGGAGCGGACATTCTTAGTTTCCTTTCCTAACTTGGCCTTCAGTTCACCTTTACCAAACTTGCTTAAGTAGACAAGTACCTGGCATTTATAAAAAATATAAATGCCCATACCCCTCCCCTAGAGATGCCACCTCATTGTCCTGGGTTAGGACAATGAGAAATCCCCCAGGAGATTGTTGTAATGAACAAGTTTAAGAAATACTGTTTCATACTACATTTTGATCATCTTTTTGTCTTTCACTTAACATTCCACCATCAACTTCAATCCATGAAGTTGCCCTTCTTTGCTCTAGTTGCTCTGAACATCATTATAAAGCCCTTTTGGTTTCTTTAATAATTTTTGTAATACTCTAGTCCCTTGGGGCTTCCCATGGGGCCTTTCACCTCTTTGTATGTACCTGTGTGTAAGTTTCTGAGTCTGATCTTACTAGAGAGCACCCTCTGCACCTCTCCCCACCACCTTTAGTCATTCCTAGCCCTCTTTATCTCTCATCAAAATTTCATTCTGAAGACCCACCACCCTAATCTTTGGCTAGCATCTTCCTCAGTTTTTTCAAGTCCCATGAACATACTCAGTCTTGATGTCTTCCCTTCTTTTTCTTTTTATCTTTTTTTTTTTTTTAGTTTTCAGAGTCATTGTTTATTATCTATTTATTCATTTATTATGTTCAGTTAGCCAACATGTCTTCCCTTCTTAAATACAGCTCAAGCCCTTATCCAACAGCAGCAGCTTTCCTCTCCCAGTTATAAACGGTGCTGGAAAATGTTCCCATTGTCACAAGCTTCCTGGCCATTTGATCTCAACAAATGGAATCCAGTGAAAAATTGCTCTTGGTAACTTGTATGTTTTCTTATCCTGTGGGTGACTGTACGATTGACTGCAGGTAGTAACAGGGTCTCCTTTGTTTTTCCAGGTGCCAGACTATGTGATTTCTTCTGATTCTGTTTCATCTTCTACCAGTAGTTTCTGGAGCTCAAGCTCTACCCTTGGCAACAAGCAAAACGTACAAATGTTAAACAAGAGCATACAAGCAGGTAAATTACCTGAATTTAAACATTTCCGTTAAAATACCAGTAGATCTTTAACATATGTTAAGATACTCAGCCTCAAAACAAAATGAAGATTAAAACTATACTCAAATGCCATTTTTCATCTATCAGACTAGCAGAAATCTAGGTCTGGTAGTAAGTTTGTGGGCACAAGTGTAGAGAAGTAGGTACTCATATGTTCTAGTTGGGAATACAATCCTACAGACAGTTTGGCAGTTTCAATCAAAATTACTTTGACCTGGCACTTTTACTTTTGGAATTTAGCTTATAGGTATGTTTTGCCTATGTGCAAAATGACAAGTGTACAGCAGAATTAATCATTGAAGTAGAGGGTTTTTTTTGTTTTTGTTTTTCAGATTTTATTTATTTATTTGACAGAGATCACAAGCAGGCAGAGAGGCAGGCAGAGAGAGAGGAGGAAGCAGGCTCCCTGCTGAGCAGAGAGCCCAATGCGGGGCTCGATCCGAGGACCCTAGGATCATGACCTGAGCTGAAGGCAGAGGCTTTAACCCACTGAGCCACCCAGGCGCCCCTGAAGTAGTGTTTATTATAGCTGAAAATTTAAATCGACTTAGATATCCATCAATAGCCAGCTTCTTAAATAGATTATCATATGTCCATATCATGAAGCATTGTGTGAGGACACTCTCTCTCTACTAAATGACAGGATCTCCAACACTGATAATTAAAAAGGAAAAGCAAAGTACTTTAAAAATAAAGGAAGATAGTTGCTTGAATGTGTGCAAAAAATTCTCTGGAACCATGGGGTTACAAACTGAATGAATGGAAAACAGGAATGTGAAGGAGGCTTTTCACTTTTTTTCTGTATCTTCTGATTTTATACAACAAAAATAAACGTTGCCCTTGATTTTTTTTTTCCCCCTCAAGTCTTGACTTAATATCTGTCAGCCTCTTCCTTACCTGGGTGACTGCCAGTAGGACTATAAGCATTAGCTATCTTTCTCACTTGGGATCAGAACTGAAATCCTGGGGCCCCTTGGTGACTCAGTCGATTAAGTGTCTGCCTTCAGCTCAGTCATGATCCTAGGGTCCTGGGATTGAGTCCCGCATTGGGCTTCCTGCTCAGTGGGTAGCCTGCTTCTCCCTCTCCCACTCCCCCTACTTATGCGCACAGACGCTTTCTCTCTCTCTCTCTCTCTCCGTCTTTGTCAAATAAAATAAATCTTAAAAAAAAAAAGAACTGAAACCTTTACCCATTGAATCCATGTTAGTTGTTTTTTTTTCCCTCTAATATCTAAATTGACTTAGAAGTACAAACCTTCTTTTTTTCTTCCTTGCATTCTTCCCTCTCTTTTTCTCCCTCCCCTCCTCTCTGTCTCTCTCGCACTCACCCCTCCACACCACCCAGAGGAGGCCTGCATTTTTGAAGGCTTACAGTTTTCATTTACTGAATTGAATACACATGTCAACTAAGTCTCAAGGCTACTCCCAGAATATCTGTGGATCTTTTTCCTCAGGTAACTTGGAGATTGTGAATGGTGTCAAAAAACACACTCGAGATGTGGGGATGACTTTCCCAACTCCAAGTTCTAGCGAGGCTAGAATAGAAGAGGACAGTGATGTGACTTCTTGGTCAGAAGAAAAAATAGCAGAGAAAAGACTTCTTGCCAACTATCTTGGGGACAAAAAGTTAAGGAGGAACAAGCACAGCTTCTGTGAAGGTCAGTTTCTAATTCCAGTTTTGTAGCCAAAGAACTAATGAATTTCCAGTCTCTCACAATGCTAAGATTCTTTATTTCTAAATGACTCTGTTGACCCCATCTCCCCAAACAATACCTTGGCACACCTTCTAGTACTAAAATTACAGTCATGCTGGTAGTTTAGCCAACTCCAGGGCATCCTGGTGGCTTCTGACAGCTGAGCCCCCGAGAGCCTATATTACACACATGTCTTTGATGAGCACAATGGGAAATCTCTTCTTTTTTAAAAATATTCCCCATAGGAGTTTCATGGTTTGTTCCCATGGAAAATGTGAAGTCCGGTCCTAAGGAAAACTTGCCCAAGCATCATGGCCCTGGTATCTGCTGGTTTGCACCAATAACCAACACCAAACCGTGGAGGGAACCGCTACGGGAACAGAACTGGCAGGGACAGCACATGGACAGCCACGGGGCACTAGCCGGCCCAGGCAGAGAGCCACCGAGGCCGTTTGTGAGAGCAACGCTACAGGTGCAGTGACACGAGTTAATTTTAGCTGTAGGTTTAAAGGGGTCAAAGGGGGACATACAAAGAAGCTAAGACTGTGACTTGGCCTTCTGAAGATCAGTCATGTAACCCTCATTTCTAGCCACCCGCTCCCGCAGTTCATCTGTCCCTATTCTCATCATTAATCAGAGGCTGCCTTACTGTTAACCGTTGCAGACTGGGCGTTGCCCCCTCACCTGGGGACAAGGCAAGGGAAGGGAGGGTGTTGTGATGCTGCTCATGGGGTTCGTGGGTTCCTGCACGTGGCGCACTCCGGAGGCCTGTTACTATTGTCAGCCTCCTCCGTTTACAGAACTCCTGTTCCTGCTTAGCACGGGATTGAAAAGGCACAAAGTCCCTTCTTTACATGTATCTTGGGAGCTGAAAGAAATGTCATTTAATAATGTATTTGTTGGAAGGGAAATTTAAAATAGCACAGTGGGCTGAGCGACATCTAGAAGAGTTGCAGTTGCCAAGGTCGTAGTTCTCGGATCGCTGCAGAGGTGCTCTTTGACCCCTCCGATGGCCTGCCGCCACCCCCCCACCGCCCCCCGCCCCCTCACCCCGGGAGTTGTTAGATTATTCTTCGGCTGCACTGTAGAAACAGGCTCTTCAAAGCACCGTGGGGCCGGTGCTTTTTTGCAAGCCCTTAGAGAACAGACTGCATCATTCATGTGAGGTCGGGGATCCTTTTCTCCCCCTCAGGAATCCCTTCAGTTTCACAGACCTGACTTCATCTCCCGCTCTGGGGAGCGGATAAAGCGTCTGAAGCTGATAGTCCAGGAGAGGAAACTGCAGAACATGTTGCAGAGCGAGCGGGAGGCCCTGTTCAACGCTGTGAGAGAACGGCAGGGCCGGGACCCTGCGCGCCCGCTTCTGCAAAGAGGTACCCTCTGCCTCTTCACTTTCCTGTCATGGCTGCTTCCCCCGGGGAGCGTGTCTCAGTGCCAGCCCAGTTACAGGGACAGAAAGGGACTCTTAGCTTGCTGAGTCTCCACTCTCCCGGGCAGCAAAACCTGCCCTGTGTGGCTCTCAGCGCTCTCATGATCCACATAAGCCCCAGGTCCTCCTGCCCTGTCACTGCATCTCAGAAACCAGAGTGTACAGTGAGAATGGTATTTTTATAAGCCAGCTGTGGGTCCGTGAGCAAGTTCCAGGATTGCCAACTTCATGGCGGGGGAGGGGGTTGTGGTGGTGATGATGATGATATGTAACCTTCACATGTTTTGCCCAGACACTGTTCTTATTTTATGCTTGTAACACCTCCCTGAGATAGATACTATTAATAACCCTGGTTTACAGATGGGAAAACAGACAATGAGAGCTTAAGTCCTCTGTCCAAGAGTATACACCTGATAAGCTGGGATTTGAACCCTGATGGGCTCGCTTTAGACTCTGCACTCCTAATGATTCTGCTAGGTGTAAGATCTCCAGAAAATAATGTATGAGCACTGTGAAAACTACAAGTGCTACCTAATGCTTTCATCGCAGCCTTACCTATAAACTGGCCAATGTTTCTGTTCATACTGCCTAGTCTGTGCCACCGCATGTTGTGTCTTCAGGAGCCTGCTGTCATAGCCCCCATAGTCTAACCTTGGCCTTAGCCTTGGCCACTGCTCACCACCCAGTACTGTCAGCTCAAGGTAGGGGCATCAGGTCCTAGCAGCTCCCTCTCACAGCCCTTGAGCAACACACCCTTCCCTATTAAGATGCTATCTCCTGAAAACCCCTTCTTCTCATGCTTAGGCTTCCTGGATGCCCGAAAGAACAGGCCTATTGGGAAGAAGGAAATGATTCAGAGGTCTAAACGGTAAGGCTAAAAGAATAAGAGTAATTACGAAAGTATAAGTAAGGTCACCAACTGATTAGGAGCTCTGGTTTGTCCCTGGAATAAAGACATATGCTCAAGTTAAAATATTATGAGAAAATTAGTTGTGAAAGAAGTTTCTCACTGATAGCACTAAAAAAGGAAAGAAAAATAGCAGATTTGTGGTATGAATGAGTCAGATAAGAAAGATACAAAGAATTCCCTCTAATTTGCATGCCTTAGTCAGGCTTGTCTTTGTTAGAAACCTAAATATAAATAAGGATACCTAAAAATAAATAAATAAATAAATAAACCTAAAATATAAGATATGACTATTTTGAAATAAATTGTTTATTTAGGGCACTACCCTTTTATCCACACAATCACATTTCTAGGAATTTATGCAATGCAGAGAGAAATCATGAAATACTAAGACATATTAAATTAAGCTTTACAAAAAGTCAAATTTGGGGCATCTGGGTGGCTCAGTTGGTTGAGTGTTTGCCTTTGGCTTGGGTCATGATCTCAGGGTCCTGGGATCGAGCCCCTTGTCCGGCTCCCTTGTTTCTCAAATTCCTCATATCAGTGAGATCATATGTTAATTGTCTTTCTATGATTGACTTATTTCACTTAGTATAATACCCTCTAGTTCCATCCATATCATTGCAAATTGCAAGATTTTTTTTTTTTTTAATGGCTCTGAGCAGGATTTCTTCTTTTTTTTTTTTCTTTTCAGCGTAACAATTCATTGTTTTTGCACCACACCCAGTGCTGCATGCAATATGTGCCCTCCTTAATACCCACTACCTAGCTCCCCCAACCGCCCACCCTCCGCCCCTTCAAAACCCTCAGATTGTTTTTCAGAGTCCATAGTCTCTCATGGTTCACCTCCCCTTCCAATTTCCCTCAACTCCCTTCTCTCCATCTCCCTATGTCCTCCATATTATTTATTATGCTCCACAAATAAGTGAAACCATTTGATAATTGACTCTCTCTGCTTGACTTATTTCACTCAGCATAATCTCTTCCAGTCCCATCCATGTTGCTACAAAAGTTGGGTATTCATCCTTTCTGATGGAGGCATAATACTCCATAGTGTATATGGACCACATCTTCCTTATCCATTCTTCTGTTGAAGGGCATCTTGGTTCTTTCCACAGTTTGGCAAACGTGGCCATTGCTGCTATGAACATTGGGGTACAGATGGCCCTTCTTTTCACTACATCTATATCTTTGGGGTAAATACCCAGTAGTGCAATTGCAGGGTCATAGGGAAGCTCTATTTTTAATTTCTCGAGGAGTCTCCACACTGTTCTCCAAAGTGGCTGCACCAACTTGCATTCCCACCAACAGTGTAAGAGGGTTCCCCTTTCTCCACATCCTCTCCAACACACATTGTTTCCTGTCTTGCTAATTTTGGCCATTCTAACTGGCGTAAGGTGGTACCTCAGTGTGGCTTTAATTTGAATCTCCCTGATGGCTAGTGATGATGAACATTTTTTCATGTGTCTGATAGCCATTTGTATGTCTTCATTGGAGAAGTGTCTGTTCATATCTTCTGCCCATTTTTTGATATGATTATCTGTTTTGTGCGTGTTGAGTTTGAGGAGTTCTTTATAGATACTGGATATCAATCTTTTGTCTGTACTGTCATTTGCAAATATCTTCTCCCATTCCGTGGGTTGCCTCTTTGTTTTGTTGACTGTTTCCTTTGCTGTGTAGAAGCTTTTGATCTTGATGAAGTCCCAAAAGTTCATTTTCGCTTTTGTTTCCTTTGCCTTTGGAGACATATCTTGAAAGAAGTTGCTGTGGCTGATATCGAAGAGGTTACTGCCTATGTTCTCCTCTAGGATTTTGATGGATTCCTGAGCAGGATTTCTTAATGTTTTTATTCATCTGTCTGCCCTCCCAGATCATGAGGAACCCAGCTATTGTTCTTTGTGTCCAAATGTCTGACAAGAAGCAGGCCCAGACAGAGGCCTGGGGCCTGTGTTTTGAGATCTGAATGCCCTGAGAGCAGCAGACCTTAGGGACAAGGGGAAGAGATCATGTTGCTGTGTGGTTGGGTAACCTCACTGCTTTTTGTTTTCCTACTGGCACCATTCCTAAGGATTTATGAGCAGCTTCCAGAAGTTCAGAGAAAGAGAGACGAGGAGAAGAGGAGATTGGAATACAAGTCATACCGCCTGCGAGCTCAGCTCTTCAAGAAGGTCAGTCAGTCCTTGGGCAGGATCCATCAGGTTTATCAGGGGAAAGAGAAGTTGAGAGAAACACATCTGGCCTATTTGAATTAACTATATCTGGGGAGTAAACTTAAGCTTGTAATGCATTGTACCACACCTGGAATTTGGAAGATAAAGGCACCCATGACTAGATTTCAAATCTAAAAATCTGAAAGGCAAATCTAGAAAAGGCACCCTTCAGGCATACATTTGGAACAAAACCAAATTCTGTACTTAAGAGTCATGGTGGAAATGTCCAAATCTATCAGAATTCTTGGCTTTTCATTCTAGAGTCCCAGATGGTAGTTCTGTGCCCCTTACTGGTAAGTCAGATACTTCTAGAGCTTGTAAAATAAACTGGAAAACGTCCGAGTGTAGCATAAGAGTTGGCAGCCTGGGGACTCAGAGCCTCGAAACTGCCACCATTTCCAGCCCGTGGCCCAGGGGAATCAGTGGTGCCACAAGTCCCAGACCCTCCCAAGGCCAGGGAACTTGCCACCAGTATATTCCTTGAGAAGCCAGGCAGGCGACCATGCCTGAAGGTCCATATCCTTCACTGTTCTCATTTCCTTCCCAACCCCTTCACTTCACCACCAGAGGACTCTGAAAGTCAGAATCCAAAAGACGTGTTTATACCAGACCGATGTGGGATTGGAGAACTGCTTCTGGAGCACACCCGGAGCTGGGCTGGGCCGGGCCCTTCGAAGAGGGGGCCCCCAGGCACCACATGGCCTGTCCAGTGGGTCAGCATCACAGGCCAGGCCTCTTGTTGTGCTCGTATGTTTGAACTGATGGATGGATGGATCATAAATGATCTGTATCTGTACAGAAGTAATAGATACTAACTATATAGATCATCTTTCCTAAACACTTCAGGAAGAATTTTTTTGCATAATTACCATAGTTTCTGTAACTGGGGAAGATAAACAAGATTTGGGTAGAACCCCACTGGTCTCTTCAGTGACATGTCTAGGGTGAGGAGTGACTGTCTCCCTCTGATGGCAAGAGTATCTGACTTTTTTCCTGTCTTTCTTTTCTTCCACAGAAAGTGACCAATCAGCTCTTGGGAAGAAAAGTTCCCTGGAACTGATAGGAGATTATTTTCCTCACAGTCTTGGAATTATATTTTATCAGCATGAAGAAGCACAATCCTTACTTTTATGAGTCTGGTTTAATAAAACTTAACTCTTTGTCTATGTTTAATTTAGAAGTAGTAACCTTCTAAAGAGTCTGAGGAGAATGGTGATTAGGATTATTAATGGTTTGGGAGCAATATTTTCTCCACAGCGGCCTTGCCCACAGGAATGTTTGTCACAGTGATACCATTTCTGAATTCTAGCCACAAGTAAGTCCCTTTTTGTATGTGTTTTTATACTTTTAGAAAATAAATAACTTCTGATTGATTCATAGTAAAGCAAGCAGCAGAGGGTCATTTCTTTACCATCTGGAGATGTGCAGGGAGCTATGTGATTTCTCTCCTAAGGTGTATGGGGAGCCTCAGTCTAAAAGCATCCGTCAAGGGAAATGGGCTGTGCGAATGAAATGTAGCCTTTCTTCACAAACATGGCAGAACTTGACGATAGCTCTGCCGTGGGCTTCCTGGAGATGGGGTCTGGTTAGAGTAGCTATTGGGCAGGCCCAGACACTCGCAGCAGACCAGGCACCTTGGGTCGAAAGCCTCCTCTTAGCCTCATTCCGACTTCCCATTGGCCTCTAGCCTTTGGTGGATTTTCCTCCAGCCACCCTCTCTTCAGGATTGAAGCCTCAGAGCCTTTGTCATCATCACACATGGAACCAACATTTATAACCTGGATAACCACTTCTGAAAAGCATGAGTTAATAAAAGTAATCATGTACATAAAGCATTTAATGAATCCTGTAGTCTAGAATGACAGCTAAAGCCCAGAGTTGAGGGGGGAAGGTGCTAATCGGCCTCATTCAAAATTCAGGGAAGCCCCAGCCTCCCCAAAGTCTTCCGCAGAGGCCAAGTTAAACAGCAGTCCTGCCACCAAGCAGCTCCGAGGGCGCCACCAAGGCTCCTTTCTTTACCCAGGAGGAGGCTATGAAGAAGACTCAGAGAAAACATTTGGTATGTGAAGTTTACTCCCTAGTTTTTCCCTTTTATGCTAGACAAGATAATTACGCACTCTGGGCCAGTTCACCTATAAAAGGGTTAATAACCCCTTAAACCGCTCCCCCCCTTCAGCCCTCAGATGCTGACTGTCTTCTGTCTTGTCAGAGTTATTATCCAGAATACAAACAGAAAGTGATGGTTGTCTGGAAACCTGGGTCTGCGTGGAAACCAGGGCAGGATGGAGCCTGCTTAGGAATGATGAGTGTGATTCTCCTCAGGCCCTGGGCTGTGTCATCCAGGCACCTTCCCAGAGCATTTAGGTTCAGGGCTTGGGAAGCCACAGGTGGCAGCTGGCCACCAGCTCCCTTCCCCCAGCCCCAGAACTGCTTGGGAATGTTACTACTGATGCCCTGGGGAGAAGCTGTTAGCCTCTCCAGTTGGTTCTACAGACTTGGTTTCACATTTTAATGGTAGTTCTCAGGCCATTGGGCCTTGCATGGGTAGGGTACAAAATCAAAGCCATGCATGGGGGAGGTATGCTGAGAATTCTCCCAACTGCAGTTTTCCTTGGCCAGGTGCTGCCTGCAGATCCCAGGCATTGGCCTCACAGGCAATCCTAGTACCTCTCCTGGAACCCGTTCTTCCCCCACAGTGCTCAGGATGGTTCCCCCCACGCTGCCCACATCAGTCCAGGCTGAGCATCAGGCAGAAGCCACAGAGTCAGTACCTTGTGCTTCCACACCTGTGGCCAGGCTCTGCTCTCCTGCTTTCCATGAGCCCCGGTACCAGGACCTTGCTCTGTAAGTGCTTTTGTCCCGCGCCAGGCAAGATATTGGGCCTCTTGTTTTATTTTTTCTTGCATGGGTACAGGAAAGGTAGGCCCAGGCTGAACCATTACCCCTGGCCGCAGCCTGTCGTGGGGATTCATTCTGGAATTGCTTCTTGCTAGCCTGAGAACCCACTTGCCCTCCTTTCTCCCGGAGGTTAGGCTTCAGCCTCCTCAACCACTTCTCTTCTCTGAGAGGGTAGCTTGTGTTGCTGCCCTCCTCCAGCAGAGGCCTTCAGTGACCATCAGCAGGTGCAGTGTGGGGTGGGCGAGTGTACGAAGAAGGCAGAGTGTCTTACCCATAAATCACAATGCATTTTGTGTCCCAAAGGATTGTTCCGGCCAGTCATTAGAGTTAGGCCAAGCTGAGCTGTTAACATGGTCTTCATCTTTACCTGTTGGGGAGCTTGGGTGCTTTTAACCTACAGTGTCAGTTTTATTTTTATTGACCATGAACCCTCGCACACAGCCCTTTCCCAGTTTCTCACTGAAATACTCCTGAATTCTGGTTGGGAAGGTGGTGTGGAGTGGGTCCACTGTCAACAGTTAAAGCCAACATTATTGGCCTCAAGGGGGCACTCTTGGCTCCTCTCCATAAGTCTTGCTCCTTGGCAACTCCCCATGATGAAGTTCCTGAGGTAAGAAAACTTTACTACCAACCCCAAGGTTGAGTCATCTTCCAAATATGACTGGGCTACATGTTAAGGGTATTACAGGCCCCAGGTACATAGGTGTGGGCTTTTCATTTTCTTGGTCCATAGCCCTAGCCCTGTCTGCTGCTCTTATATCTTTCAGAGAGCTGTAGTTGGCCAGAAAATACTCAATAACCCAAGCCAGCTCCTCCTTAGACATTGGGATAAATTACCCCTCTCTCCCTCACTGTGTGTGTGGTGTGTTTCTCACTCTCTATCCCTGACTTGTTTCCTTTGATGGTTTGCTGCTGGCATGTTTATTCTCGGTAGTCTTACTACTGCTGTGCATGGGGTTTGAGGTCCCGCATGTCTCCAAGGAGGACATTGATATATTCTTAGGATCCCTGACCTGTTCTCATCACAGTGTTCACCCAGCCTCACCCACTGCTCCCCACACAAGACAGCTTAACAGTAGAATCTAAGTCCAGGGATGCCTGGGTGGCTCAGTGGTGTAAGCCTCTGCCTTCAGCTCAGGTCATGATCCCAGAGTCCTGGGATCGAGCCCCACGCTGGGCTCTCTGCCCAGCAGGGAGCCTGCTTCCTCCTCTCTCTCTGCCTGCCTCTCTGCCTACTTGTGATCTCTGTCAAATAAATAAATAAAATCTTAAAAAAAAAAAAAAAAAGAATCTAAGTCCAGAACCTCAACTAGCCACGGGGCAGATGGGGCCGGACTAAGAAATGCCTACTCTAGCTTCAGGTAATCAGACAAGGACCAGTTGAGAAAAGGTGGGAAAGTGTTCATATAGTTCCCATTGTCCAACCCTAATTTATAGGCTGAGAACTTTGGCCAGGAAGGAAACTGGTGAGCAGGAAATACTCAGGAGACACATACTTGGTACCATCTTTTGACAGGCAGGCCTTAGCTCTGGACCCCAGAAAATAATGAGGAATAGCAAACAATCTGCATAGGGTTTGTTTGTGTTTCCTGGATTGTTCATTAAATAGGTAACTCTATGAGGCAGTAATCAGCACTGCCTGATCATTTGTGGGGGTTTGTTTCATTTGTTTAAGATTTTTTTTTTTTTAAAGTAATCTCTACACCCAGTGTGGGGCTCAAACTGACAACCCCGAGCTCAAAAGTTGCATGCTCTACTGACTGAGCCAGCTAGGTACCCCTGCCTGATCCATTTGTTTTGCCAGGGCTAACACAATGTGTAGCAAGTGTTTGAGTCAATAAGGGTTTATCAAATGGCACACAAAAGGGTCATCAGTCCAGATTGGAACCCAGAGGCTCTGGGAAAGAATTCAGGGGTATTTAATCGATAAGTTACCTGAGGCACCTTAATTTTATGGGGATCTGTTTAAACATCTGATAGAGTGTGGAGCTGAATAAGTGACAACTACATAGAAAACTAAACAACAACCCAAAAAAGATGATTCCAAGGAAAAGAAAACAAAAATCTACATAAAAGGATAAGTAATCATAATTTTCCTGTGTAGCTTTAGCTTAAACATAGAATGTTGCTGTTCACCAACAAGTGGTCCAATCTCTGGGAAGCTGGAGAGTAGGAAGGGTGCACATGCATAGTGTAGACATGGCCTCAACTCCCAAAAAGTAGTCCGCAGACAAGCTTAAAACTGAGCATTAAGAAGAAGCCACACAGGTCCCTTAAAGATATGGAAATGGGCGCCTGGGTGGCTCAGTGGGTTAAAGCCTCTGCCTTCAGCTCTGGTCATGTTTCCAGGGTCCTAGGATCAAGTCCCGTGTCGGGCTCTCTGCTCGGCAGGGAGCCTGCTTCCTCTTTTCTCTCTCTGCCTGCCTCTCTGCCTATTTGTGATCTCTGTCAAATAAATAAATAAAATATTTTTTAAAAATGTGGAAATGAGGAGACCTGAAACCATAAAAATCCTAGAAGAGAGCACAGGTAATAATTCTCTGACATTGGCCATAGCAGCATTTTTCTAGATAAGTCTCCTGAGGCGAAGAAAACAAGCAAAAGTAAACTGTTGGGACTACATCAGAATTAAAAGCTTCTGCACAACGAAGGAAACAAAAAGACAACTTACAGATGGGAGAAGATATTTGCAAATGACGTATCCCATAAGGGGTCAGTACCCAAAATAGATAAAGAACTTATACAACTAAATGCCAAGAACCCCCCACAAATAGTCCAATAAAAAATGGGCAGAAGACATGAACAGGCACTTCTCCAAAGACATCCAGATGGCCAACAGATGGCATGAAAAGATGCTCAACATCACTTATGATCAGGGAAATGCAAATCAAAACCACAATGCGCTATCCCCTCACATCTGTCAGAATGGCTAAAATTGAAAATAAAAGAAACAAGTGTTGGCAAGGTTATGGAGAAAAGGAACAATCTTGCACTGTTGGTGGGAATGCAAACTGGTACAGCCACTCTGGTTAACAGTATGGAGGTTCCTCAAAAAGTTAAAAATAAAATTATGATACAGTAATTCCAGTACTAGGTATTTACCCAGAGAATATGAAAACACTTATTTGAAAAGATATATGCACCCCTATGTTTACTGCAGCATTATTTGCAGTAGCCAAAATATGGAAGCAATCCAAACATCCACCAATAGATAACTGGATAAAGAAAAGGTGGTACACACAGACACACAATGGAATATTACTCAGCCATAAAAA